ATATTCCTTAAGGGAACTCTTAGGCAAGGAAAATAAAAAAATGTAAATGGAAAAAAATAATAAATGTAAAATCTTGTATTAGTTATTGATTTGGTGCTTTGAAAAAGAAAGAAAGAATTATAAATATTAATCGGGTATTTATATAATTTTAGAACCTTGTGGTCTAAAATATGTTCTTTTAAGAGCAAGAATGTTATTCCTATTAAAAATTATTTATTTTATTTTATGTGATTTTTGTTTGTTTCTAGAAGGAGCTCCAATCACATTTTTTTTCTAGAAAGAGAGAATATTTATTCTGTTCTTAATTTTTATGGTTACTACTCTTGGATTTTTGAATTTTTTTTAAACTTTATTTTGGTTGAGTTATGATGTACCAAGCCATAACTTTGAGTTTCAACCGTTCTTTGAAATTCTATTTTGGTTCGCATGAGGGGACAAAGGTAGGGACCAATAGGGCAATTCCTCCCACTAAAATTCATTTTTTTTTTTTACTTATATGGTGCTCTTTTTCCACTCCTGAAATATCTTTTTTGCACCTTCTGAATATTAATTCGCCCTTCGTTGCCCTAACTTCTCCTACATTGGGTCTAGGAGACAGTTTGACTCCTAAAAAAAGAGTTTGGTTCCATCCATGTCAGTTTACTCATCTATTTTTCTTATTTCATTAAAACTAGATGGAATTCTTGTTTAACCTTTTAATAAAGTACGACTTGTATATGAGTTATTTATTTTGGCTATAAATTCTCTAACTATATAGTAGGTGGGTTCTTATGGCTCTCTGTTTTTTATCTTATTATGGTTGTAAGATCTATTATTCTTTTGGTTTCCTTAGTGTATTGGTTGTTTGAAAGAATTGTTGTTTGTTATACCTTCAAGGATTTTATTTTCAATGAATTTGGATAGACTTTCTTGGTTATAGATCTGGATTTAGCATGTTGCTAATTGACATTTATCTAGTGTTGTTTTTAGAAGATGTTCTTTTGAAAGTATTGAGCTTTTCATTGAAGATGTAGTTTGTAGTTGTGCTCTTTAGGGAGCTTTATTTTGACATTAATTTAGTTTGCTCTTTCCTTCCTTAGAGAGATCCTTTCTTTAGTTTGCGGGATGGCCTGACTTTTTCATCTTTGATCATTTATTTGCATTGTTGCTGCTTTCAAGTGTTCACTCTCCTGCATCCAATTGTCGTTTTGGCCCTGTTAATGTTGTTGATGGGCGAAGTTGTTTGTACCAGTTATTGTCTCTTCTGTTTCTGTCAAGATTGTTAGCCTATTATTTGTTGGACTTTGGTTTGTTTTTTTTTGTTGTTGTTTGGACTTGTAATTTGAGTCTTTGGCTGAGTTGTTATTATGTATTTTTGTATATATATATATATATATATATATATATATTTGTGTGTGTGTATTTGTGTGTGTTGAATCCAAGAATGTCCGAGAAGTAGGCCTAAGAAATAGAGCATAAAACAAAGAAAAAGAAGAGAGAAATACACAAATGAACAGTAGAAAAAAAGCGTATCCTTTTATTGAAAAATTACCTCCTATTTATAGATATGCATGAGGTATGGATGTTGGAATTACAAGTTTATCCTCTAATCATTTGTTTTTTATGGGGTTCTTTTAGTACGTTACATATATCGAATATATTCAAAGTCAAGTGGGCTCATCCGATCAGTATGAGACCCAACGATCGATGGCTTCCGAAGATTGTTCTTCCTTGGTTCGCCACGTTGGTCTCCTTCTGGTCATCACGCCGTGGATCGATCAGTTTTGCTATGGGCTGATCATCATATCTTCTGTAGGCCTACCATTGGGGAACCTTCCTGCCCTGAGGTTGTCAACCGATCTACCGATTCCCCATTCATGACCGATCGTCCGATCCTCCATCCGTCATCCTTTTACATTCGGGCTTTGTCTCCGGGACATAGTATCTATTAAAATTTTTTAATGCTGTTTTATTTAATTAGTTGATTAATTAGTTGTTTTTTTAAATTTCCTCTTGGAGATGACAAGCATCATTCATATATGGTGATGTAATTTAGCTGGATATAGTGTGAACGCTCGCGCCACAACTTAACCTCCCTGCCTCCATAATTGTTCATAAAGCGTTTCTCATCTTGCGTCGAAGTTCTATCATGATCTCGCTCAAGATACGCAAAAGGAATATCATGATCGATGGAGCAGTTGCAGCTTATTTCAAAGCGGAAACAAACAGTACCATACCTTCTTTATAGAGTCTCCACCAGCTGGAGCCTGGAAGTGCTCAGATTCCTTCTTGGTGATCCAGGCTTAGGTCATGAGAAAACAATGGGTAACATGCATGCAAGTATGGGTTGTGCGTTACAGCATAAGCGCAGAAATAAAAGCGATGAAGGAGGATTAGCGATCGGGAGAGGGTGTAAATGAGCCTAAAACGAGTGGGCCCAGGCTCAGCTCGTGTTTGACTCGTTTATATTTCGAGCTCAAAAAGTGTGTTCGTGTTCGGCTCGGTTGCTTAGCGAGGCCAAACAAGAGTCGTTCACGAACAAAGAGTCGTCAATCCTGATCACGTAGTCATAATATGTTAAAGATTGGAGCAAGATTTAAAAATTATTGTTTATATTAAAACATCATTTGAATCTAATTTAATAATTTTTATTCTCTTTTTCTTAATTAATACTTTTAATTGATTATTAATCTCTGTAGACTTGTAGTCAATTAAATTTTTTAAAAATACTACTCATCAAAGATATATA